AAAAAAAAAAAAAAAAAAAAAAAAAAAAAAAAAAAAAAAAAGCAAGGAGACTTGAAGTGATGGACTTGCTCCAGGTTTGTGGGACAGTCCAGGAGTGAAAATCAGAGTGTGGCCTGCAGAGGGAAGAAAAGAGCTGTGGTAGCACTGCCGCAGCTTCCCGGGGGTCTGCTCCTCTTCCCGCCGCTGTGCCTGCTCCCCACCGCGCTGTTCATCCGGAGCACGCTCTGAGCTGAATAGCTTGCCTTTAAACGTTAAATACATTTAAAGCCCATTCATATCAAACCAAAATTAAACTTCTGGATTTTATTCAACAGTCATTCCCCCTTAGAAAGGGCTGAGAAGAAAATAATGGTTAGCTGGATGCCTCACCCATCCAGCACACAGAAAAAAATCCCCCCAGGAGGTAAGGTGAGAAGTGAGGCTTGGCTATCGCCTTGCCTCATTGCATTGTTATCTGTATATAAGCCAATTTCTCAATCCATTTAGAAATCCACTAATTGTCATTGGAGCTATTTGCTGACGACTGTGAAGTAGCTTCGTAATGAAGAGGAAGTCCATTTATTCGTTAACATTTACGAAAATAATTGCCTGTCACTTAACCGAACATCCTTTGCTCCAGAAACACTTGCTCTTCAGCACATTTTTTTTTTCTGAGCTGCATGCTTTGAAATGCCACTTATAATTTCCAGTCCCTGAAGGGCTCATTCTCAGCTGCTGTGACATGAGTGAGGGAGCACACTCCATGAGAGGACACTAAACGTCCTGTCACTTTTGCTGCAAGGAAAGGAGAGCATATTAATGGTGCTGCAGGAGGCCTCCAGCAGGCAGTTGTAGCTCTGAAGTACTGCTTAAACTGTGCAGTTTTATGGGGCTGCTGCTCCTCTGCAGCCTGCCCTGCACCTCTGCTGGGTGTTCCAATGGTGCTGGGAGAGGCTATGGCTGCAGGGCTCAATGCCGATGGGCCCATCTCTGGCCAAGGAGATGAGGTACATGAGGTAGCCCCAGCCCTGCTATCTGAGCTGTCTTCTGGCCCCAGTTTGCTAGTCCTGCTCTCAGCCCTCACAAAGGCAAAAGAAAGACTGCATGAAGCCAGGCATGCACCAGGCAGTGAGTCCTGGAGGGAGGAGGAAAGGTTCTTTGGGAGGTAGAGGAGCGAGGTCTCAGGAGGGGAATGTGGAAGGGATGGAGATCTGTATTTCTCAGTTCAGCCCTCTGTGCCCATTACCCCCATGAGTACAGCCAACATCTCCACCAGTGCCTGTGCATGCCATGGGTGACACCCCACAATAGCTTTGTCCCCCATGCTCACCAGCTCACCCTCCCCACTGTGCCCAGCAATTCCTCTGCCACCACCACTGCTCCCACCAACGCAGACAACATAAGCCAACCTGCCCCTTAGCCTGCATGACCGAGAGGCTTTGAGGAGCTCTGCCTGCTGGGGAAGATGTGTTTGCCGTAGCAGTCAACCAGAGTGTCTGAGGTGCCTTGCCAGGTCCCCTGGAATAAGCGGGAGCAAATGAGTGTGCCTCCCCCAGAATCAATAGAGATCTGCCTGCTTGCACCTGCTGGGCTTATGCTGCTGTAATAGCTTTTATTCCAATGGCTGCTCATTTGTTTGTCAGCTGTGTTGAATTTTTATTGTTTCCTGGGCACGTGAATTCCCCCATCCGTTCCCAGGACAAGGAGTGCCACGTCTCCTGGGGCTGGATAGCTGCTGATGTTGACTTAAGAGTGCGTGGAGCAGGAGGTAAGCGCTGCCCTGCTGCCAGGGCCCGGTGGAGCCGTGCGCCTCTCACTGTGCACTGCGCTTCTTGCCTGGGGCTCCTGCCATGGGGCTGGGAGTCAGGGAGAGTGTCACGCAACACCGGCTGCGTCATCCCCTTGGCTGTGGGCAGGGACAACGGCCACGTCCCCAGGGGAGCATGGGAGGAGCACACCTCTGCAACCAGCCCCAAGGAGTGGGGAGCAGAACAACTCCTGCCTGAATGGGACCGCGGGCAGGAGGGCCACAAGACCTCGAGAAGCAAAGAAGGGCACTGCTGCAGATGCGCTTGAGGTATCATCCATGTTCAAGGTGCAGCCACTGCAATCCTACCCGATTGCACTGGCAATGGGATTGGCCACTATGGCTTGAGATGATCCAGACAGTGTAGTAACACTTGATAGGGTCCTGCCACCATAAGCCAACATATTTCTAGTGGGTCCAGCAGCCTCGTGATAGCTCACAGCTGCTGGGAATGGCTTATTAGATGTATTTACTTTTCAGGGGTGCAAGCTTTCAAGCATTTGCAGGTGTTAATTACTGCTGGTACAGTACTTTGGGAAAGTGGGGTGAAGGGCTGGGTTGGGCGAGTACTTTGGGTTGGGGTCCCCATGGGGAGCAGGGTTTCTGGTTTGGAAAGACTAGAGATACTGGCTCTGTTTGTTTCTTGGGCAGGAATTTGATGCATTTCAAGATTAGGTGACTGTCTTTGCTTTCAGGTGCTGTGGTGTTAAGAGGGAAAAGCGTGTGGGTGAGTGTAAATCAGCTCTGCACAGGGAGAGCTGCCTGTTTACACCAGGGGATTTAGGCTTCCAGATATTTAATTTCTGGTAACTGTACTTCAGCTTGTTGAAACATTTCAGTCCTGAAAAACCTTTTGTGGGCAATGAGACTACGGGGAGGCACTGCTCCCAGAAAGCCTCAGACTGGGGAGCAGGGGTGGACGGGGACCTTGCTTCGGCAGTGCAATTAATGAGCAAGCAGGTAGCCAGCATTTGCAAGAAAACGCTGGGGGAGAGGGGGATAAAACAAAATGAGAGAGAGGTTTTGTTGCCTCCCTTGAAACCAAGAACAAGCAAAGCTCACCTAAGTTTAAAATGTCCTACCTAATAAGTCATGGGGTGAGGGACCATGGGTAGCGGAGGGTGGGGGAGGTAGGAGATGGTTCTGCTTTGAGGACCGGGGGATTGCCTGGAGAAGGCTTGTGCCCTACAGCCAGCTCTGTAATGGCTCTCTGATTACAGTCTCTCTGTAATGACTCTGCAAACCCAGTAGAAACCTTGGGTGACCCTCCCAAAGCTGTCCCAACAGAGGAGCAGAGGGGCGGTGTGACCCACACCCTGTGCCCTGATTCAGAGGGCTAGTGGTGTCAAGGAGAGCTGGGCTCATGCTGGAGGGTCCCCACCTTGACTCCAGACCAGGCTGGTGCCCTCAGCTGAGGTGTCCTGTCCCCCATTATCAGGTATGAGATAGCTGCAGACAGAGGTAACGGAGGGACCTTTGCAGCCATGTCAGAGCTTGAGTCTTGGGGGCTGGTACCACAGTCAGGACCACCCTATGTATGTCCCAAGTGTTATCCTCTTTCATTTAGCATCCAGCTACAGCCCTTCATAATTTCTTTTCTGACAGGCCCCAGGGTAAGCCCTGCTGAGCCTGACAGGGTGGCAGCCCCAAACCTAACCCCTCCCAAGGACAGCAGTTGTAGCCCCTGCCTTTGCCTGCTAGCCCAACCCACTGCCCTGTCTTCTCCTACAGCAGCAACCCCTCCATAGGAGCACTTAGGAAACACCTCCAGCATACTTGTGATTTCCCTGGTGCTATTGTGGGTGGGGAAAGTGAGGCAGGGAACTGACGCTGTCTTGGAGGAACATTCACAGCACTGTGGGAACTCAGCAGAAAGCAGAAAAGTAGCTCTTCCTCAGCCAGTGGAGAGAGAGAGAGGAGACATATCTCCAGAGGGTGACCTGGGCCAGCCATGGTCTGGAGATGTTTGTATTTATGAACTAAGGGGGGAATGGATGCCACAAGCCCCCATGGCTTTGAGGGTGGTGTCAGGAGCCACAAATCTGTGGGAGGCAAATGTCATTTAGCATCATTAGGAATCACACTGAGAAGCCATAGCTGTGCCTATCTGCCTGTCTCAGGCTTTTGGGTTATGACCATCAACTGAAGCACCCGCAGGGACCATCCTGGAATCCTCTCGGCACCTCTGAGCAGGTCTCTGGTGGAGAGGGAGATGGAGGCACAGGTCCTGCCTGGCACCAGCGTTAAGAGGTGGAGAAGAGTGAGACATCCCATGCAGCTGAGAAATTACTCTCCCCAAATGACTCGAACCTGTGGTTTGCAGTTTGCTGCTGTGGTAGGGGACAGCCCCCTCCTACCTGCCCATGCCCCAAGACAGCTACTGCTCCTGCTGCCACTGCAGCTTTCCCGACTCATGTAGGTGAGCTGGCATTGGCTCTGCTTGTCACGCCAGCAGCTTAACTCCTTCACTGCTGGCCATGTGCACACTGGAGAGCCTGCCAAGAAAGCTCAGCTGTCTCCTCCCTGCACTTCCCCCTGTTGCTATCTGCACAGTGAATGTACAGCATAACACGTGCTCCCTGCCTGCTAACCATCCACCGGGGCTGTGGGTCTCTGCAGCACGGAGTATCCCTGAGCTGCAGCACAGGATGGAGAAGGAGGCAGCACAGGGCTGGACCGAGTGAGGAAAGGGGCACTGTCACCCTTGCCTGTGGCTGGTCCTGCCCCTGTGGGGTGGGTGCAGGTGCTGCACCCATCCTGCACAGATCGGTATCCTTACCACCCACACCAGGAAGAAAGACCAGCTCCCCTCTATGGCAGCTCCTCTTAGGAGGAACTTTCGTCTCTAGGATGCTGCAGTGAAAGTGATGTGAAAGAGGGGTGAGGGACAAGACAATGTGACATTTATCCATTTGCCATCCCAGTGGGTGTCACCAATGGGTAAATGGGCAGGAGAGGGGACCACCGGTAAAAGGACTCAGGAGCATCTGCGAGGGATGCTCACACCACGGAGCTATTGGGAGGTCCTCACTGATGAACTGTGGGGCCAAAGCTCCTGCTGGAGCCTGCTGGGAAACATTAGCCACAGTCCTGCCTGGCTCCCGCTCCCCCCTCACACCTTCTCCACCCTGTTAATTATTACAAGGGAAGCGATGAAGGCCAACGTGCACCAAAGTCCAGTGTGAGAGAGAAAATCAGCAGTTCACTTGCAGCCATGAGCCAGCCGACCACAGCCACCGCGGAGCTGCCCACACTGCCAGGAGACACGACAGTGGCCTTTGGGGTGGCAGACATCATCGTTGTGGTTTTTTACTTTGCCTTTGTCCTCATCGTCGGGATATGGGTGAGTCCCCAAGGTGACTCTGTTTAGGTCTGCCTGAGGCGGAGAGCCTTTGATCCTCCCTGGACCCCTCTTGGGTACAGAGGTGTTTGCCTGCAAAGGGCATCCTCTGCACACACCGTTATCACATGGCCTATTGAGCAGGTTTGTGGGGTGACAGTGATCTTCCCGTGAGTCCTCACCACTACCCTCACATGGGGACAACCAAGGGGTCATTCCCTGGAGGTTGTTCTGGGGATGATATCTACCTCCCATGCTGCAAAGTAGTCTTACGCTGGGGTGTGGGCAGGCAGGGGGCAAGGGCAAAAGAAAAGCTGGGGTTGACGGGGAGAAGACTGAAATGGGACTTTAAAAAGCTTTGGAAAGATTGTTACTAATTATTTGTTCATGTTGTTTTGCAAAGGCCTCTTTCAGAGAGACCTACAATCTTCTGGTTGGCTGACGTGTTTTTTCTCGTTCCCAATGGGTACATTCAAGGAGAAGCCATTAAATAGGCACAAGCAGCTTCTTTCCAAAGCTGGACTACCAGAAACCTGCACAAAGAGAGACAGAAGCACTGGGTGAAGCCTGGCATACTTAAGAGATACACAAAACAATTTTTGGAGCTGATGCTTAGACCAGGCATTCAGGCTTCTCCTGGCTTGGTGGCAGTGCTGCTCACCAGTCTGAGCGCTGCCATCTGCATAAGCATTTTGCAGCAAACCATTTTATTATGGTGTCCAACTGCAAGTTCCCGGTTGCTGCAAACAGCAAGCACAGTCAGCCTCAGTGACATCGGAGGGTCTTGCTGGCCTATGGACATCCTATTGCTCTTGAAATCCCTGCATTTCTCATGCAGTTCCTAGATGGGCCTGCGTGATGTGGCCATGTAAGTGTGGGGCTGCTGGAAGGAAGCAAGGCAGCAGGAGCTGCCACAGGGCATTGCTAGCCATCCTGGAGTGACCCTGCATGTCATGCCCAAATGCAGTCCTTGATGGCATCCCATGGGATACAAGGTTGTCCTCTGATTCTCACCCCTTGCCATGTTCTCCCTTATTTGGCTCTGAAGGCATTTGCTAGGGGTGCTGGACTGTGAGGAGGGAAAAGCTTCCTCTTAATGCATACCATGATCAGAAGTTGGGCAGCCTTTCTTGGAGCTGCAAACACTTATCTTCACATGGCTGAGAGCAGCCAGACCCCTAGATTTCTCAAAACTGGATGCCTTTCACAGGGGCCCTGCCTCAGCCTACACTACGTATCTGTGCTGCTCTGAGTAGGGTGAGCCGGTTGACTGCAGTGATGCCTGAAGGAGTAGGACTGGGGTGGTGCAAGAGGTTGCTGACAGGATGTTTCAAGGCTACTGGGATGGGCATTGAATCTGACTTGAAGGTGGGTGAACGGAGGAAAACACTTTTTTTTCCTGTGCTTCTAGTCATCGATACGAGCAAGCCGGGGGACCATTGGAGGCTATTTCCTAGCTGGACGATCCATGACTTGGTGGCCTGTGAGTGAAATGCATCCCTCTGTTTCTCATGGTTCAAAAGCAATTCCAGATGTAAGGAGGGCAGGTCTAGTGAGGGGACCCAGTCTATACATGTTTTGACAGTAGCCTTGAGATGAAGAAGATCCACCAGGAATCATCCCATGCAGTTTTGCTAATGGGCTACAGTGTGGAGCTGCTGGGCCAAAAGCCCAGTTCAGCACCTTCAGGCTTTTTCAACTCTCAATTTGTCTGCTAAAGTCAGCAATAAAAATGTTCATACTGATGGACATGAGGGAGTGCTGACTGCATAGCTGGGTTTGAAACTCTTTGGCTCCAACTCGCCAAAGATACCATTGTCCCAAGCCAAGAGAGCATTAGGTAATCTAGGAATGTTCTTTCCAGTAAAAAAGCATTTAAAGACTGAAGAAAAAAATAATCGCAAAGCCCAGGACTTTCTGAGCCCTTGCTATTTAGAGTAAAGTTGAGATTATTGACTAATGATGCAAAGGATATAAACTTCAAACCACCGAAGTAAAAATATTCACTATGAAGAAAAAAAAATCTATTGAAGGCACCTTTTCTTGGGAGTGAAAGGTACATATAAAGATAATTTAAAGTTTGAAAGGAATAAAAATGCCACAGGAATAAAGATCCTTCTCAGCCAATGCCAGACTCTAGCACCATATATCTCTCCAGTGAGTCGTGGGTAATGGAATGCACTTCTCAACCAAAACACTGTATTTTTTTCTTTTTTTTTCCTTCGGATGTACACTGCCCATAAATTCACTAGGTTAGATTTTCAACCTCTTTCATCAGAGACACATACACCTTTCTAAAATCTGTTATTTCTTAAATGTTCTTTATACTTCTGTCTTGGCCAAGTGACATTTAATGGAAAAGCTTAACTTGATGGTTTTCTCTAATTAGGAAGGGAAAAATCAAAGGATACTAAAATGGAACATTTTTTCCCAAACATTATTCTTTTTTAAAAAAAAAAAAAGAAAACAAACCCAAAAAACATTCTTATTGCTTTTGGCTCCAGCCACAGGTGGTCACAGAGCCCGTTGGGTACAGGTTGGCTCTTGGTTCTCCTGATTTACCATTCTAGGTTGACTTTTCAGTTTTGTTTGTCAGAAAGCTGATTCCACCTCTGCAGCACTCCTGCAGGGTCAGCTCCTCGTGGCCTTCACCTTGAGTACATGACTGGCTTACACGTATTTTACTTCTTTTTTACAGGGGTGACAGATTTCTGCTGTGTGTTAGGCAGCCTCAACTAAACCCTGGTATTACATTGCTACTCCTGTGCAATGTATCTTCTGTATTTCTGTGTCTGATATAGATATCAGGAAGACTGTTTACATCTTTTGAGAGCACCAGTCCCCACCTCAGTTGCAAATTCATGTTGCAGCAGCCAGCTCTCTAATAATGAGTTTTCTTAGACAGACAAGAAGGCAGAGCTGTTGGCAGGAATCAGTGTGGGTGTTGATGCCATATTAATGTTTTACCTTGCTCAAAAGCAGATCAAATTCCATCATTCTTTATTTCACATTTAGCAGTACTAAGGGGAGAAAAGCTCTTCATAGGTGATGTGGCTAAAAGCAAACTTTCTCTGGAGACAAAATGGCTAGACTTGTCCTTTGGGTAAATTCTCATTTGACTCTGACAGAGATTTGGCATTGGCATACAGAAAGGAGGTGAGGCTTTACACCAAATAAAAGTAGTAATTAAGGCAGATATTCTTTACCCTGTTTAAAGTGCCTTGGAGCCTGCATTCTTCCAATTAGGGTGTCAATGAGCCATGGTAGGGACAGCCTACCATGCCTACGGCCTACAGTTAAAGCTAACCTGAGGCATTAGTGTTTTCCAACCTACTGCAGAGCTGAATATCTTTGAACCTACGTATAGACATTAAACACAAAAGGCCTGCATGTTTCTAACATCATCCCTGCTATGGTTCAGGAATATCCTCCCTTAGGAGGAGCTCCAAGAGACCGCTCCCATCACCCTGGCTGTGTAGACCACCACATGCATGTTTAGTGCAAGACTTAAAAGAGGCTGGGCTGTCAGCAAGACATGGAGAGGTAGAGCAAGGGTCAGCAAGGTTGGAGAAGGCACGTTTCTGGCTGAGTAACAAGAGAATGGAGAAATCCATCCATGTTTCATGGACACTAAGGTATCTGTGGCTGCCACCAGACTTCCGTCACCCTGCTGTAGTCCCCATAACAGTCGTGTATCTCAGGAGAACCATTACCAAAGTCAACCCTGATTCTGAGATTAAGCTTTGCATTGGAGTGGGGGCAGTGGAAGGGAGCGGGCACACCCTCTTTAAGATATAAAAACATAGTTTTCTTTAAAAGGAAAACCCAACTCTCCATTAACATCCAGCTACCTATCTACAAGGTGACAAGGCCCTGGGGAAAGAG